ACAGAGGGGGGTGTCTGCATCACATCACAGGTCTAGCAACAGTAGGAAAAGAAGCAAGAGACCTGAGGATGGTGAGACTACAGCAGATATTTCAGGCTGTAATGGCGACAGATTTGACAACATTAATTTGTGTGAAAGGATGACACTGGGGGGGGGGTTGTACCAATTTAGAGAATCAGAGTGTAAGCCTGACATAAAGAATTAAGTTTCAAATGAAGCCATTGACCACAGTTAACATCGGAAGTTGAGATCAGATACCGCAGAAAGGGAAAGCTCCATCACAAGACCGGAGAGAGCCGTACATTAGAGACACCAACACTGAGTTGTCTCGGTTGAAAGGCCTACTCTGTTCCGTCACGACACACACAGTTCAAGCTGTCTACCATCTAAGCACTTTCAAGTTAAGGCCTTTTAATGGAGGCCTGTGGTAAATGTCAACTTGATGGTAGAACTGTGGACAAAGTAGGAGGAGAGATAAGTATGACAAATGACACAATGTTCCTTTGCCCCTAGTGTATTATACTTTGCTTTATTCACACAATAACAAGCAATAAAAACCAAAATAAATATATAATTTTGTATTGCTGCCTCTTCTTAAATAGTAAAAAAAATATATAAATCATGGGGTCTTGGTTATACAAGAGGGGACAAAGTTTTATTCTCTTCATGAGAAAAGAAAAAGAATGTTTAGTTGCAGGGTCAGATGAGGATGCAATGCTAGTTGAATTTCAAAAGAGTTATCTACATTTCTCACTTGTAATAATTCTACTGACTGGTTTTGATCCAATCTCTGCCACAGCTTAAAGACACTTGACAAAAATATGACAATGTGTTACACTGAACGTGCACACATGCTTCCCAAACAGTAGCACTTCCCATAAGACAGTATCAGTGAATTGTGCGGTCAGAGCACTAAAGGGAATGGTGGATGAAATAAAACTGCTGTGAAAGAGCATGATTGATGCTGTACATGACAGGCCAGCCTCAGAGACAAGCAAGTAACACCTCAAATCCCCCCCCCCCCCCCCCAACACTTCATCTTATCAGGAGGGATCTCTAATCAAAGAAAAAACATTACTGGAACAGCCCTCCTTTTTGCACACACACAAAATACTAACACTAATGTCAAATGAAAAAATAAATAAATAAATAAAACATCTCCTCCATCTCTAACATCTAAGAATTTATCAAGTGAGTGAGGAACTGACCGCATGTGTGATAAATCATTTTATCAAATATTTGTCCAACTATCTTACTTCCTGATGAGACTTCATTATTTATGGCATGCTGCTGTACTGATACGATCGTTCTTCCCCCTACACAGTGAGGGGAAAGTTGAGAGGGTAGCAATCTCCAAAGGATAATTAAATCACTGTGTTGTTTCCAATAGCCAATCAAAGCAGCCATGCAGGTAAAGTTTAAATCACTGCTATTAGGGGAGTTTCTGTAGCAGGGATAATATGGGGCCTTGAAATTCAATGTGCAAACACCACATGCACATATACTATAATACACACGCACGCACACACACAGAGCATTGCCTCAAGCAAAATACACTATGAGACATCTGATGCACAGGGGGAGGGCTGTCTGCAGCAAGTGAACAAATCCACCATTCTGACACATCTGTCAACTCTACAGTCAACAGAGGGAAGATGAACAGTCAAAGGCGCACGGTTTGAGTGTTGACTCACTGTATGGTTCTGATCCAGCTAAGTCATGAACTTCAGTCAGCCTGACTGAAAGCACAAGAGACATCCAGAACGTCCAGTAGCTACTTGGACTATATACCCCACCTGCCCTCACCTTTCCCTCTGCGCCTTATGAAGGCACACACCATCCTGACCAACACTAACATGACAGCTTGACTGGTCTGTTTGCACACGGACTATCCCCCCACATCCCCATCCGGAGTTGCGGCAGTGTGAGTACCAGTGAGTGTGAGACACAGAGGGAGATCAGAGTAATGAAGTGAGGAGCTGTGTTGTGAGTGAGCTAATCAAAGTGAACCATGCAGGGCCACCTCTCCCTGTGATCCAGACTAGATGACCCAGGGCCATAATTAGTCTGAGACTTTCATTCTGATAGCAGCAAATTAACAGACTTCATTAGGCTTTTCTCTCCTCGCCTCCCCTTATTCCTACTATACCAAAGACCGTCTCTAAATCTGAACCACTAAAATTGCCCCTGCACGAGCATCAGTGTCTACAACATGCCAGTCCACTGCTCTTCACAAAGAAACTAACATACCCTACAAAAAGAACACGCATTTCAAAATAAACTCGCAAACCTGGACTGAATTTATTGACGCTACATCAAAAGATTAATAATTGATTAGGAGCCTCTGTTAATCAGTATGTACTGGCCTGTGGGGATGAGTTTTACCAGTAGCTTTATTCTCAGTGGAGTAGTGCCCTCTAAAGGCTTCTTGAAGACCTACCAATGGCCTCCGAATTTGTGTGTATGCAAGTGTGTGTGTGTGTACTAAAATGAGTATTTT